TTTCCATTCACACAGCCATTTGGTAATTAACACCCACTGTGCAAGTATGTTGTAATGCACTCAATGTGAGCACTCGCACAATTCATTGTTACTTACGAACATACTTGCTGCACTTACTGCATACGAGTACCTTTATACATACATACATGTGTGTACATAAACATTATTGTGCACTTGGAGGACATTCAAATTATTCTTTCATTTGCTCAATGAACTTGAAAATGAAAAAAAAATATTGATGTATATGTATGTATGTATCTGTGAATAGATTTTTTTATGTACTAGCGAGTTAGTGTCTAAAACCAATAAAACCTACGTCATTTCCGAAGTCAATTTTTATTTTGTTGTTATCATGCTATTGAAAAGCGGGTGACGTGAATTGGTGAATCTGTTGAAATTTGGGCGAATAACTGATAATAAATGAAGGTTATGTGGGTACGTTGGTTTTTTTTTTTTGAACGATTGGGAAATGCTGGAAATTTCATATTTTCATATTTAGAAACCCAAATATTTGCTAAAAATGAAGATAGTATTATAGAGCTTTTTCCTGTTCAAAAAAAAATTGAAATCATTTTGTTGTGGATATTTTTATTTATTTATTTTAAATTTATTTTATTCAATGTTAGTATAATTGATTTTTCCCCTCTTATCTGATTTTATTGTGTTTCATTTTATTCTTATTTGTTGTTTTGGTTTGAATGACACACTTTTTTATTTCATCGTTTTTTATTTAGTAGTATCTGAATTTTAATTTTGTATTATTTTATTTTATTTAATTTAGTTAAATTGTTTTTAGTTCAATTTTTTTTATTCTATTTTATACCATTTTATTTGAGTTAATTGTAAGTATTTAAATTAATATTATTTTATCTTTTATATTTTAATTTATATCGCTTTGTTTTATTTATTTTAACTTATTTAATTTAATTTAACTTAATTGTATTATCTAATAATATTTTACTTAATTGTATTTTATTTTACTCTATTTTATTGCTTTTAATTTAATTTAATTTAATTTCACTTTCCTTTATTTTATTTCCCTTTCTATCCTAATTCATTTGTCTTTGCTTTATCCAATTATTTTATTATAATTTTTTGTGTCTAATATTGTTAAATTAATGATATTTTTATTTATTTTAGTTCTTTGTTTACTTTGTTTAATTTTTAATATTTTTCTTTTATTTGATTTATATTCTTTTATTTAGTTAAACTTTACTTTATTTTATTTAAATTTGGTTTTATTTATTTATTTATTTTTACTTAAAAAAAAATTGTATGTAATATTATTTTATTATATTTTACTTTGATTTAGTTTACAAAATTTTGTTAAATTCTTTCACTATATTCTCTTTAATTTTTTATTTTATTTGTTTTTTTTTTATTTTATTTTTATTTAATTAATTTCATTTTATTTTAACTTTTTATTTTATTTTTTTTTTTCAATTTTATTTTATTTTTAATTTTATTTTTATTTAATTAATTTCATTTTATTTTACTTTTTTATTTTATTTGATTTTTTTTATGTTATTTTTATTTAATTAATTTCATTTTATTTTACTTAATTTTACTAAATTTTATTGTATTTTATCACTTTATTTTTCAATATTTCATTTGATTTTTTTTTTCATTTCAATAATTAAATTTTACCTTATTCTTGCCAAGTGCCTAGTGCCCTTTAAATATTTCTCTTACTATATATGTAAATATATATATTTATATATATATGTATTTATGTATGTAGCTCTCTATAAATATTTACTTATACGTATTTAGGCCCTTGTACGGTCGCTCTTTTTGTTGAAAAGTTTTCAAAGTCAAGTTGCGAAATTTTTCCAACATGTGCTTTATCTCATACATATGCACATATAATCACATACGTGTATGTGTAAAAATGTTGTATACAGATAAATATGTATGCATGCAGGTATTTCACGTACTTGTGTATTTATTTGAAGTTTAACTTTATCATTTTACTACAATCATAAATGTAGAAAATCAACAAAAAAGCACAACTTGTGATACGCTCACGCGCTCTACTGCAGTGTGTCAAGAGCTTATTAAGCATTAAGCGCTACCCTCTCCCCGTCAAGCTTGTCCATCCCGGGCGGTACACCAACCACACATTGCGGCATTAGAGACAACTCGCGAAAAGTTGTGTGGACGTGACTACTCGTCGGCTCTCTTCGCCTAGTGAGTTGTTTAGTGGAAGTCAGTAAGACTAGTATGAAGTGTATACTCGTGTATGTACTGCTGAGGAAATGACAATAAAACGATTATTTCCAGTTTGAGCTCCAACTCGTTCATAGAGTATGAATTGCTTGATTTATTTGTTAACGAGGTATTGATACCGACTGTCTGAAAATCGTCGATAACTGCTTGTGGCATGGAATATTATCATACACTCAGCATTTGCTCGCTTCCATAATCGTTTCAAAAGCTTAATGCGCCTTTCACATCAAGCGCTGGCTGTCCAACGAGCGTCTCATCTATTAGTGAGTAAGTGCCAGCGCGCACGAACGCCACCCGTTGCGGCAGCTTATTACATTGCCCTCGCGTATTGTGAAATTATTGTGCGAAATTCAATACAAAATTACAAGGTTTTCAAATGAAACTTACTCTTTACGAAATGCTCCGAAATGCTCAAATGTACGTATGTATGTGCGTTTGACTTAATTTCCATGTAAGTAGCTCTCTAACGACAGGCCCTCTTCTTACTAGAATAAAAACTGTGTACTTTTATTGTGCTATTTTGCATAATAATTTAATACACGTGCATCGTAAAGTAATTATCGATTAATAATTAATTGGTTTCCAAAACGTGTATTTTACTGTAATCGGTTACTGATTTTTCCTACTAATATCAAATATTATTCTGCAATTTAATTTTACATATAGATATACACATGTATGTAGTAGAAAGAAAATTTATTTGGTATTTTCTCTCGCTTTCTCTCCTATCCTTCAAGGACTGAGAATATCCTTACTAAGTTTTTCCTCAGAATACTTAAAACCTGTTTGATCTTAAGTCACTATAGGTCGTCCAAGTTCTGTTTATGACACTGTTTAGACACTGATTACGCAAAATTTTTATTTTAAAAGGTGTCAACGGCTTCTCATCCGCTGTTGGCATCGCTCATGCCTCCGTAACTTCTCCAATCAGCAATCAGATAGTACCTTCGCGATCCTGATAGAGCTTTTGGTATTGCTTCAATCAGTAGAGCATGTACCTAGAGAAAATCTACAATACCGTGAATAGAGTTGTTAAAGAAGTCTTCTATACAGTTATTATGGCTTTCCCTGGAAGCAAGCATTACGCTCTTCAATTGGTTACGGTACAGATTTTTGGTGTTTTTGTTGTCCAGCTTTAATGCCGAAAATGGTAATCTAAAGACTAGTTACTGTGCGGAAACCAAGCTTAAAATTTAAGTGCAACATTTTTATATTTTCCGAAAATCATAAAAAATATTTTGAATTTAAGTCAGCCTTTCTGTTTTTAGTTACGCCAAAGCAATTTCACAATCATTCATTTGTTAAATACTCGTGCTCAGCTGTTTTTAAAGGAAAAAAACTACTAATTAATAAAATAAAAAGTAAACTTCACGAGCATTCTCAACTTTCAAGGTCAAGAAGCTTCGGGTGAATAATTCTATTTTTCTAATAAAATTCAATTTCATATCCATTTGTACACATGTATCTATGTATATATGCATACATCAATAAAAAATGAATTTACTTACTCACAGTCGTGTTTGTCTGAGCACTTTACGTTCTCAAAAAGTATTTGCACTAGAACCACATTTCTCTCAACTGTTTAATGTGTTTAGCACCTTTGATGTATGGAAAATCATTCAAGGTTAATCAGTTATTCTACAAATAATGTAAATGTATTTTTTTCAATAACGGAAACTAAGTAAAACAAAGTTTCTGTAAAGAGAGAGCGAGCCATGTCTTTGGGAGCGACGGAAGAGCCATCAATCCACACTTTTTTCAAAGGTTGCAAAACTTCGGAGCTGTTTTTTGGCTAGCACCAGCTTCCGCTTAAGAAATAGCGATGTCAATCATATGGCATAATCGTGGCAAATAATCTGCCATTAGGAATAAAGTCGATGCTGCATGCAGAACTGGAATATAGACGACTTCTTCGAGCAGTTAACACCTGCCAAACACTTTCATCCATACAACCAAGCTAAATGGCTACGCGCGATCATGTAATAAGTATTCTCTTACTATACTCAATCGTCAAGACGCAGCGGAAGTAGAGCAAGATCCTCGCACTTTTACGCTACCTGCCATGTCGAAACAACGTGAGGGGCTTAAAACTCCAAACACCTGTATATAAGGAGTTCCTGAGTGTAGTTTTTTTCCTCCGCTATTACCTCATTCGTTCTTTTTCGAAGCTCTCTCAGTCACCGTAGAATGGCTGCGTGATCAACAGACCGTTTGCCGCTTAATATTATGAGGTGCAAAATGGGTTCACCCTTGCGGATACCTGTTGGAAGCAATAACTGTACCTGCCTGTGAAGTTAATCGAGGTTGCCGAGCTTCTGTGGAGAAAATTGTAAGCTCCAGCATTTCTTTTAAGAGCGACCTCTACTGGATTCATGTTATATCACCATTCAAATGATAAAAATAAAAACAATATGTGATGACCTAATAAACGGGATTGAGTCACCGAAAGCCATCGTGAAAATCGCCACATTTAAACATGACCTCTAAAACCCATTTCAACATGCCCTCTAAAACCATCAGTTCCTTATGCTCCGAACCCTTCGAAACAGCTCGAATACTGGACTTACCGTTCGATGACTCATACTAATCTCCCCTGTTTCTATGGCCGCCCCTAAAACAACAACTACTATATTAAAATAAAAAATAAAAATGCGTAATTTAATTTTGCTTGAGATCAATTCATAGTTTGCTTTATTTTTGAATTAATGAATTTTGGATTTTTGATTATTTATGCTGTTGCTTTGTCCATCAAATTCTTTTTTCTTTGTTTGTTTTTTTTTTTGATTTTCTTTTCTTGGTGGAGAATGTGTGTCTCTCTTTTGCAACACACTTAGTTACTTAGTTCATACAAATCATAACAAAATTCAGCTTCTACTCTAGAGTTTCGATACAAAAATTAACCAATATATAGCACAGCTGTTGCATAGTTTTTCTTGCAATTTTTCACACTTAAACATTATAATAATTAATTATAATTGTACATTGTGGTGTGTGGGGAAATGAAAACTCAACAATATTCAGCGAAATTCGAATGTTTAAATAAAACTACTGCAAATACATACAGAAAAAGGCAGTTTAGAATATTTTCTTTTTACATTTACATATACGTGTATATGTAGTATGTATGATATGTACATATGTACATATGTATGTACATACATAAAATTACTTTCATAGAAAAAATACTAAGTATTTGATTTTTTTTTTTTTTTAATATAAAATGGAAGGCGGGTGATGTCAGGAACAATTTGTTACACTAAATTATATAAATTTCCTTTATAAAAAGCGTAAAAGCTTTAACGCCACAGCAAGACGCTTGCAACCACAACAGGTCGAGCGTGCGCCTTGGGGCTGGTGCGTGTCCTTTAGACACGTCTGCGTGATGATCGCGCGCGCGCCTCACATCCTGCGTCGCGGCGATCAACGCTCTTGACAATATTCCACTGCCAGTGAACATAAAACGTATTGTACATACATACATATAACGACGGATACTATTAGTAATGGCGGCAAACGGCTACGTACAACGCACATACGTTGATGATGTTTATGCCTGCATATAATATGTATATGTGTTCGATTTGCTTTTCGACTGCTTTACGGTGGGAGGCGTTTCGAGACATCTTACAGCGCCTGCGCTTTGAGATTTTTCTACTTGCTTTTAATTAAATAATTTACTCAGCGACTGCCCTACCACACTAGTTGACGTCAAAATGTTTTCTGCTGCTGCTGCCGCCGTTGCTGCCGCTGCTATAGCATACTATCATATGGAGTATGTCCAGGTGTATGTGTGTGTGTGGCGGTGTAATCAGCTCATTTCCTCGTCACTATCCAAGTCGATAGTTATGGGTGATGAGCTGCTGCCATTTGCGGCTGCGCGCAGCGAATAATCTATGGGTTGTGTATTACTAGTATCACAGTCAGCAGTTAGGTAGTCTTGTTGGTGTAGTTGTGGAATGGCGGGAACAACATTATCTGTGTTGCTATTTCCCTCCGGGCAGTCTTTTAAGTAATGCATTGGCTGTTGTGTCTCCATTTCATTTGTTGTTGTTGTTGTTGATGACTGCGCCTCCAAGACATTGGCATTAACAAGTTCGCTATCATCATATTCCATTTCAGCATCATCGGCAAAGAAACTTATGTCCTCAGGCACTTGTGCATAATATGGTTTGGCCTGATCTCTCACCCAGGGCGTAATGAATACCTCATCTGCTTTCAAACGTTCCGTATAGTCTTTACTTAACAGCAACTGCAGTAGCCAACGCGCCGGTCGCGTGATGATTGATGGTATTTGCAATGTCGTGTGACGTATCATTGTTATTAGATTACAGTTGGGCCGCTCATAGAACGGATATTGGCCGACGAGCAGCGTGTAGAGTATGACGCCCAATGACCACATATCGGCGGGTTTGCCCTTGTAGTTGGGCAACGGGCACAGTAGTTCGGGTGCGGTGTAGAGTGGACAGCCAATTTTGTCGGTCAGTGTGTCATCCGCGGGATTGTCGAGTATCATGGAGCCTTCGAGTGATTCATACTGAAGTTTTGTTCTGTAACGAGCGGAAAGAAAAAGAGAAGAGGTATTAGATTCGAGTCTTCAAGGAGCTACATACATATATAAAGGTTATTAAAAAATTAAAAAAACCTACCAAACTGCTTGAAACCGCAAATAAACGAAATTTATGATTTTCAACACAAAAATTCCCACTGACCCAACACTTAATAAATGATATTTGTGCAATTGTAAACTTTTGAAAGCGTTGAATACGTAATTCAATGTCGGCCGGCAACGCCAAGCCATTGTGTTTGTGTAATTGAGTAATCCACAACAATAACAACAACACCAGTATCAGCGTAAGCGAATTATAAATGAAAACAAATTAAAATCAATTATTCAATACGAAGTAGAGTGAGTCGAGCGCGCGCTCTCAGCCAACAGCGCCAGTAGGCCTTTCCAGCTTTTGCTGCCTGTCTACCTGCCGCCTGCCTGTATCGTACATAGCAGACATGGAGCAAGAGATCAGCGCTAGTGTTGCGTTCACTGATCTTTCAACTGATCGTCAAAAAGTCAAATATTCAATGAAGCAATAAGTATTCGATGAAATAAACACACATACGACCGCAGCAGACGACGTCCATCGTATGTATGAAAGTGTGTAGGGTTTGGCTTTATACAAATTTGGTAAACAAATATAAAAAGCGAGCGTTTGGAGGTGATGGCTGCTTAAATTGACGCTGACAATTGTTCCAACTCTTGAACGGAGTGGCCTGTGGCTGAAGCAAATACCACACATACACACATACACATACATATCTTTGTGTTTAGAGCAGTAGCTCCATTCGCAATACCTACTTACGTCTGCTGACATTGAGCGCTAATAGCAAAAACAAAAGCAAAAGCAAATCAATCTCGATTGAAATGAGCCGATCCACACGCGATGGCGCTAAAGATTATAACACAGACCAGGCAAACACTAAGTGTGAAGTGACGTAAACTAATGAGCCACAACCAAAAAAGAAACAAAAGCTTATAAAATCGGAATTGATTTATCAAAGTGTCGAGACGTATAAAGTCGAAAAAAGTAGGCGTTGGCTGAAGGAGCGCGGCGCTCTGGATGACGTGTTGGTTCGTGTGAACGAAATGACGACTGCAATGACCTAATGACCTGAAAGCGAGCAACGAGCGATTTAAAGCAGGCCAAAAAGCGAAAAGAAATAAAAATAAAAGCAGCGGGAGATTACTTTTGCACTACATATTGCGACTAAATGTTAATTATATTATTAATGATGCGAAAAAATGGTCGCAATTGCCAAGTAAATCGCAGGAGAGGGAGTAAATATGTAGGCCAGTGCAGCAGTAAATGGGTTTGGCGAGCGAATCTCGCACGAAAGCATACTCGCCAGCACCGTCAGGCGGTACCTTCTGCAGAAAGAAAAATCTATAATTTACTAAGCACTAAAATTCGTATATAAAATGTATATATTTGTTCATACACACACACATACACACATGCATATGTACATATGTTCACACGAAAGAAGCACAACATTAAAATCAAATAACAAACGAATAATAAACCTCGTGCTGACCCTGGTATTACCTCCAACTAAAAGCCACTACAACAGCAACAGCAACAGCAACAACAACTAGCTAAAAGTAACAATGTAAGTAGGTAAATACAATAAATATTACAATAACGACAACAAGTTGATATTTGTGTGTATGTGCATATATGAACAGCTAAAATGCGCTGAGTAAAATTTAAGCGATCGCGAGCGACTACGCCGCGCAAAAGAGTGGTGATCTTCATTAGCTGACCTCGTCGCCGCTGTTGTAAAGCCAACAAGTGTGGAGAGCATGATGAGCTTATGAAAAAGTGAGCGTGAGATTTTTTTGGCATTTCGTTTTAATGTAAATTTAATAATATTTTCCACTTAAAAACCAAGTATGAGTAATTCGAGGAGGCACGACTAAAAGCATTTTTCCGGCCTTTGAAGTTAGAGAAAAAAATTAAAAGTGGTAAACGAGAGAGTGAGAGACGCTTGCAATGCGTTGGAAAAATATTTAATTTATTTTTTTTTTTTTGTGTATTGAACGCAAGAATAAAATATATTTTTTTAAACCTTGTAAATGTAATATAAATTAGAGAAACAAACTATTGTAAAATAAACAAGAAAATTAAATTGAAGGACTTTTTAAATATAAAAGAAAAACACTTAATGCTATTTTCTCACACTTAAAAAATGCGTGTCTTGTAAATGCCTCAAAGAATTCCTATGCATTTAAATTGTATTAAATGAGTGTTGGGATTAAAAGACTTTTACGGATCAGTGTCAGGGACAGTATAAATATTTTATAAAAAAAAAAATGAAAAATTAAATTTAAAGCATATAAAAAATAAGTAAATAATCATATTTCCATATTTTTTTGCGTTTTTTTATTTTTCAATAATAATTTTGTACTGCAGAAATACAATTGAAAATAAAAAAATGTTTAACTTATGAATCTTGCATGTAAAATAGCATAGACACGCAATATTTAATATGGCATGCGCGTGTGTGTTTGGGTATGTGTGCATGTGAGGTGAAAAAGAATTATTTTATGTATGTTGGCAATGAGACAATGCCGATGACGAGCGTGTGCTAATAAAAAATGAACTTGAAATTAGAAACGCTGTATTTTTTTGTATTTATATGTACTATATACATAAATATACATAAATATGCATGTGAGTAAGCTTGAAAAAGGAAAGAAAATATAATTAAAGATGATAAAAGCAATTAAATAATTATTAAAATAAAATAAAATAAAGCAAAATAAAATGATAAGAGCTAATAATGATGAATAAATTACAGTAAATGAGTGAAATATTAAATAAATAAATATAATACAAAATAATTAAATAAAGTTAAGCAAATAAAAGATATAAATAATAAAAAAAAAAAAAAAATGAGTCAACGTAAAATAAAAATTTATAAAAAAATAAATAAATGCTGAGCATTAAATAATACTATAATAAATATATTTAAACAACATATTTAAAGAAATAAATTAAAAATAAAATAAAACAAAATAGAGGATAATAAAATAAGTTTATAATAAAATTAAATAATAAAAAAAACACAATTGAATTAAAAAATTAATTAAATAAAACAATATAAAAAATTAAATTAAAAGAAAATAAAATAAAAATATAGAAAAAAAGGAAATCTTAAATTAAGTTAAAAATAAAATTGAGAAAGGAAAATAATTTAAAATAATAATAATAAAATAAAATAAAAAATAGTATTTGATTTGATGAACAAAAAAAAAAACGAAATAAATTATTCAACATCAAATAAAATAGAATTAATAAAGCAAAATAAAATTAACCAAAATAAGATAATAAAACACTGAATGATAAAATAATAGTAAAATAAAAGATAATTAAAATTAAATGTAGAATAAATATATATTAAACTACGAATAATGTGATATTAAATAATATAAAATAAACAAGTGAAAAGCATAATATACAAAAAAAAATTAAGCACAATGAAATAAAATAGAAAATAATATAAAAAAATGAAATATATTACTTCCTATTAAAAAAATTTAAAAAACTAAAAGAAAAAAATAAATATTTATAGAAAAAAATGTATACGAGAAGGTAACTTGTAACGATCCTATAAAGTTGCGTTCTTCAGCGTAAAAGTTAAACATCTAAAATACATAAACACAATAGCCCATCACGCACCGAAGATCAGCGAGGAAAAATCAAGATCTAATCATTTGCCAAAGCCTCAAACACGCTGCTGTTGAGGCCATCAACACTTAGATAAGGCAAACACGCAGTAGCCGGTTTTATTGTTGTTAACAAAAGCGAGACTTAAGAAAACCCATAATTTGCATATCAAAGCCGAAAGAAAAGCGAAAGTGGTAAATGGAAAAGCTAACAAGCAGTGCAAGAACAACAGCTGATGAAGGATAAAAATATACGCATGTAAAAAATAACAGAACAAAAGGAAAATCTAAGCTATAAATATGTAGTTGTACACACAAAAGCACAAAAGTAACAAATAAAATTAACATCACAAAAAAAAAAAAGAAAAATTGTAACGTGCTCCTGCAGGAGTGGTGAAAAAACTGCGTAGATATGTATGCAAGTAAATACACGTTGGCTAAGCAAGCAAAAGGATAACTATTTATAAAGAAGCTATAAAAATTAAATAATCAACCCTTCCAATAACGTAAACTCCTTTCTGCGAAGGCTTGCGTGACTTTTCGATGTAACCGTATGTATTTATGTATTTACCCGAACGTATGGACAAAAGAGTGAAAGGACAAAAGTTAAAACTGCATGCTTGAGATATCCCTATTAGGATTACGGCAAACAAGTTCAGCGACACACCAGGGCACTCGCTTTCGAGCAAAGAATTGCCAAGACAATTGCAATGTGGTGCGGTGTGGTGTTGAGGCAACAAAGCAGGGGAAAACGGATTGTGGCGCAAAATTTTCGCAAATTGCATGTCATGTAACAATTGTCTGACAAGTGACAATGACAGAGTGTATTTTTGTAATGTGCGGCAGGCATACATACATACATACATATAATAGAAGAAGTGTTGGCTTGTTTTTTTGTTTTCTTTTCTTTTGTGGTTTCCAAGTAGCAAGAGCGCTGGATTAGTGGCGAAATCGATGAAGCATGGCAATGGAGTGCAATAATAGAATGACTAATTTGCATTTTTTGAAACGAAAAAAAAAAATAAAATAAAAAAAAAAATGAAGTTAAATAAAAAATGCAGATAATAATAGTATTGACAATGAAAAGAATGTATTAAAAGTGAGTTAAAAGGTGTATTTACCAAAAGTATATTATGTGGCAGTTACTTATTTCAGCCGGGCAGTTAGTTTTCCAAGACAGTTTCACTCTTTAACTTACTAGCTACTGGGAATTAAAACAGCTGCAAATTAAATGTCAATACATGTCGTAAATAAATGAATAGTACAAGTGTAAGCGCCTTGAGGTATGCAACATATGTTATAAATTTGCGAAATGGGGTTGTAAGA